ATGCTGCTTGGCCTGCTGTGTTCATCCAGCCCTGCACCTTGTTGTCTCGGATTCTCCAGCATCTGCAGTTCCTACTATCTTTGCTATTCACCTTATGTCCCTTATGATTTTCTAAATCTTTATAAGGTCACCCCTTAACCTGCTACAATCCAGTGAAAAAAGTCCCAGTCTATTCAGCCTCTCCTTACAACCCAAGCCCTCCAGTCCCAGTAACATCATTGTAAACCTTTTCTGCACCCTCTCCAATTTAGTAATATCCTTCCTATAGCTTTGCGTAGCATAAATTGCCAGGTTATTTGGATGGCACTGCAGCCTCTAATTAAGAACCCATGTTGCCTAGACAGCAGAATTTTAGTTAAGATGAAAAGATAAATAGGCTTGGATTCTTTCTTCGGAACAGAGAAGGTTGAGGGGAGATTTTTTTGAAATATACAACATTATAGGGACTGTGGCTAGAGTGAATAGTAAGGTCCCCATCTTGGTGAGGGATCTATAACCAGAGGACATAGGTTTAGGATAAAAGATTGGAGAGAATTCAAGGGAAAATATTTGCAGCTAGATAGTGATTGGCATTTGGAGCCCACTGCCTGAAAGGGTGGCAGAGGCAAAAACTTTCATAACACTTAGTATTTGTATGTGCATTTGAAGTGCCATAACGTCGAAGGCTCTGTACTAAGAGCCATAAAGCAGGATTAAGCTAGGCAGCTGTTTGTTAGCTGGCAGGGAAATTTGGGGCCAAATGATTTCTTTCCATGCTGTAAATTTTGAGTTACTAATAATGTATTCCATCAAACTGGGGAGCAGTCTTGTTCTTCTCTGTACTGTCTTCAAAGTTTCGCAAAATGGGCTGCTTCTGCAGCAACAGGACAACATACAATAGATCAAAATAACCTGATCAAAGTACTGCACACTTTCAACAGATCCTCTAGAGGTTTGAACTCAATTAATTTGACAACATAATCCAGGATATTATTTGCTCTGTTTATTGTCATCGCAGATCGTTTAGACACAATTAGCGACAAATCAATTAGACCCTTAAGTCTCTTATTCAAGGTAAATTCTATCGTTGTTATAATAGTCATTCTTGATTGTGACTGTTTTGGGCAAGGTCAGAATTTATTTGTCAACCCTTATTGCTTTTAAGGTGGTGTGTGTGAGCTGCTTTCTTGTACTGTGGAGATCAGAAGTAGTAGGCAAATTAATACTAGTAAGGTTAAAATTTAAAGAGGATGAAAGTTTTGAAATATGTACTATATTTATGCTCAATTTCTTCCTGGTGTGATGGGATATTTGACCAAGGTTGGATTTTGAGTATGTTAGTTCAGCAGGTATAATAATAGCCTGTTTAGGCATATTATTCATCCCTATGCAGAGCAAAGAGTTAAGCGGACTGGAAGCCAAATAGGACAGCTTAGTCAACACTGACACTAGCAGATACAAAGCTGGAGACTGAGATAACAAGGGCATATGTAAAGTTTGGAATTACAATCATGTGCTGCAACACTATATTATTGAGGAGTTTCCTTGGGTAACCAAGGTTTTCTTCCTTGTAGACGCTCAAACAAAACCTTTGCTTTCTTGATTTATGCAGACTCAAGAGTGGTAATTTTTTAACCAGCACAGATCCATGTGGTGTGTTTATAGAAAGGTGGTTCCAGAACTTTGATGCAGAGACAGAGATAATGCAGGAATAGCATTTTAGTTATGTATCAGGATGGTCTGCGATTTGAGTAGGAACTTGCAAATGATGATGCTGTCATGCATTTACAGCTCTTCTAGGTGGTACAATGCACAGGTTTAAAGATGCTGTTGATTTTGTTAATGGTACATACTGCTGCCACTTTATGCCAGTGGTTGAGGGAATTTATTTTTCTGGTGGTGATTGGGTGCCAATCAGATGGCTGTCACCGCACTCATCCCGCCAAGTGCAGAATATTCCAACACTGTCTGTCTTGTGCTTTTTTTATAATTGCTGGTGAAGAGGGCCAAAGAATTCTCAACATCTGAATGACTCTTCTAGCCACAGCATTTAAATGGTTACTCCAATTAAGTTTCTCATAACCCCTCAGCAGGACAAGGAGCCAATCAATGTCTGAATGCTGCAGTAGAAGCTCAGCTGGGGGTCATGCTTTTGTGTTTTTACTAAAATCAGTTGTGTCAGTTAAGTTCAAGACAGACCATTAAATGAAACATGGCTGTGTGTGCATGATGCAGAAAAATTATATTCAGTTATTTTGAGACAATATGAATTAGAGGTTTACGTGCAAGGAAAAGAAAGCTGCTATAGTGAGGTGGTGGGAAGGGATTTAAACCCTGAAGCTGGGCACTGACAATGCCTCTAGGGGGATTAATCTTTCTTTAAATGTACCTTTCTCCTGATATAAAACAATAAACCTGACTCTAAGACTACATAACAACACAAAGATCATGCTAATTGGTAACCAATGTGCTCACAAATATTCCAGCTCTGCAGCATTCTCGGATGTCATTAAATACCGATATAAGCACAGTATTTTGAATATTTTACAGCATACCAGTTTAAGACACATGTTTATATTTTGCACTGTAAAATATATCAAGTAAATGGGGCTTGATGTATTGCAAGTAGTTCATGATTTGAAATTATATAGGAGTGTTGTTTGTTTGGTTTTGCCATGAAATATAAGTTTTGAAGATGATTGTCATTTGAGGGCAATCTCCCTTAAATGAAAACAAAATACTGACACATGAATAGATTGCACCTATTGTAATATTTGGTATATTGTAGTTGGGGTTTACACTTGTTAATCATCTAAACCAAAAAGTACAAAGTCAAAGCTCAATGACTAGAAAAAAAAACCTGATTTATTTTAAAATAATTAATCGTTAACTAGGCACATATCTGTAAGTTTTAAATGAATAAAAGTAACTTACATCCCCCTTTTTGGCAGTCCAGTGTTTCACTCTTATAGTTTTGGATAAAACGTCACTTATTGGTGTTCTTGAAACATTTCCTATAGAGAGTCTTCTGTAGTTTAGAAATGATTAAATCACAATAGTTACTTTATTGAATTAGAAGGGAACTGCTTTACAAATGTTTTTTTCATTTCACATCAAAATGTGCAAATATATTGGACTCCATTTTTAGTGTTAAATTAAATACTTTGCTTATATGCCTTTTTTATTTAAAATTAAAGGTATTGAAAATGTTAAAGTATCAAATAGCCATTGTTTCTAGAAACAACATGAATAAAATGCACAATTTTGATTCTGACTTGAAAAGCCTGGTGTAAAGAAAATGGGTTACCATAGCAAAAACTCATGTTTGTAAAATATTTTCAGGTAGAATTCAAATCTAATATCCCAGAATAATGTCCACACTTAGCACTATTACTCTGTAAAACTGAGAGCAACTTCTGATGTTTATACGTGCACAGTTAAATGTGTAAATATTGATGTTTCTGTACGTGACTCGCAATGGAAAAGCAAATAAGGATACCAATGCAGTTTTCACACATGGAGCCAGTACAGATTGACTGATTTGATGTGAACTTCAAGTACTTTGCAGGTCGGGGGTCTAGGCCCGAAACGTCAGCCTCTCTGCTCCTATGATGCTGCTTGGCCTGCTGTGTTCATCCAGCCCTGCACCTTGTTGTCTCGGATTCTCCAGCATCTGCAGTTCCTACTATCTCTGATTCAAATAATTGTTGCTTGTACAGGACTTGAGTATTGCACTCTTCAGGACAATTCACAATAATACTAATACAAGGGGAAACTGAACAGTCAAATAAGCTCCCTTTCCTTGCTGTCCTAGTTAAGGAATCAGCCCAGGGATTCTTTACTATTGTATACCGCAAACCTAATTTCATTAGTCAATAAACTATCAACATCCTGAGGGTTACCATTGACCAGAAACTGAACTGGACTAATCATATAAATACATTGGCCACAAGAGCAGGTCAGAGGTTAGGAATCCTGCAGCAAGTGACTCACCACCTGATTCCTCCAAAGCCTGTTAACCATCTACAAATCAAAAGTTAAGAGTGCGATGGAATACTTCCCACTTGTCCAGATGAGTGCAGCTCCAACAGCACTCAAGACGCTTGACACAATCCAGGACAAAGCAGCCTGGTTGACTAGCACCACATCCACACCCTTACCACTGACAGTCAGTATCAACAGAGTGTACCATCTACAAGAAGCACTGCAGAAATTCATGAAGACTCCTTAGACAGCACCGTCTAAACCCACAACAACTTCCATCTTGTAGGACAAGAGGGGCAGATAAATGGGAATCCCACCTTCTGCAAGCTGCTGTCCAAGCCACTCACCATCCTGACTTGGAAATATGCTACTGTTACTTCAGTGATGCAGGGTCAAAATTCTGGGGCAGCCTCTTTAACAGCATTGTGGATATATTTACAGTAATTGGATCACCACCATCTTCTCAAAGGCAACTAGGGATGAGCAATAAATGCTGGCCCAGTTGAAAAAAAAAGACATTGGGATTCCCAGAGTTCTACGTGCTTATAAGATTGGCTTTATTGGCAACCTCATAAATAGAGCCAAGCCATTTGTTCACCATGCAAACTGGATACTAAAATAGAGCACATCAATGCCATTCTGAGGGATATTGGCTACCCTAAGCGGATACTTTCTTGCTGGATGTTGTGCAAACTCATGAAAGGCCCCGAGGGGCTCCTAGGAAGTGCCCTGTTTATCTCCGATTACCGTGGAAGGGTAAGGTTTCTTGAATTTCAGCAACATGAAGCTAGTTGTTTCACACTGCTACTATGCAAAAGCAACACGACTGGTGTTTGCCACTAAGCAGGATGCTGCCTACAAGCCAAAAACATGTTCTGCTTACCACACAAATGAATAATATGGTATATGAATTTCAGGGCTCATGTGATACTAGATATGAAGACTGTAAATCCCAAACACTGGCAGATCACATCAAATAACAAATCTTTTCAGCTATTCACAGCAAGTAACATACTGGTCATTCTTAAATGGCCCTTGCTTGCAAAACTGAACAGTGTCCAACATTATATGTGATTCTGCAATTAGCCAACATTTGGTGGACAATCCTGAATGAAAGAATGATTATGCTGACCAACAATTTATGATTGTAAAGAGAATGGGTAAAGAGACCAAACCTGCACACAATACTCCAGGCATGGTCTCATCAAGGCTCTATACATGTTAGCTCAGTTGGCTGGACAACTGATTTGCAATGCAGTGACACCAAGAGTGTGGATTTACTGTGGCAGATGTTACCACGAAGAACCCTCCTTCTCAACCCCTCCCCTTTCCTGAGGCATGTTAACCTCAGGCTAAACCATGACCAGTCGTCTTTCTCCAGTGAGAGAGCAGCCTATAGTCTGGCAGGACTGTGGCAACATTTTTTTTATATATAATTGCAGTGAGACATTTTTACTCCTATTGCCAAATCATGTTGTAATAATGGCCAACATGCCATTTGACTTGATTGTTATCTCTAACTGTATTTAACAATTCCAATCAATTTTAAATCATTAACATAATCTCATGGGACTAAATTGACAATAGATGAATAACTTACTTTTTGGATGAGACAGTTTTTATCATATGGATCCTTGTATTGGATTACTGCTTTGTGGATATCAAGTATTCTAAGATGCTGCATTTGTGCATTCATATGCAGGTAGAATTGATTTGGTTTCACTTTATATAATTAATGGTTCAGTTTCCTTTTTAACTTGTAGCTTTACAATATAGTCAGAAATAATGAAATGGTTAAATTGTTTATTTCAAGGATGCTACCACATAAGCACAGAACTGACGCCATTTTTATGAAGAGTGGTGTATTATAGGCAGCACTTAGCGATTCGGGGTTTAACCATTCGTCTTGGCTTTCCTGAAGTCATTGCAGCATTTATTTTAATTCTAAGTGGCTAGACTGAGCCTTAAAAGTTATGATTGTGTTAGTCATGTTCTAATAAAATTGATCAAAATTATATATCCATATAACTAATGTTGACTTTTTTGTTACAATTTTACCTTCACTGTATGTTTCTTTAAATTATCAAATTTGCCAATAAATTCAAATAATAATAAATTAAAATCTACTCCAAAACCTTAGAAATTAAAATTCTTTCAATAGTTAGTCCTTGATAACTACAAATTATTCAGGGCGCTTATTATGAATGAATAGAATGAACAGCAAACCAGATCTGAACAGTAGCTGCAACTAGCTCATAAGGCTCCATACAATCACTTTTATGATAGTAATGAATAGTAGACCAGTATTAATTTACTGAAATTACTCCTGGTTTACTAATATCCTTTAGGTAACTGAACTGCTGTTCTTACCTGGTCTGGTGTAACTGTGAATGACTGTAGACCCACAATAATGTGATTAGCTAGCTGCCCTCTGAAATGGCTCAGCAATATGTTCCCTTATATTAATTCCATCAAAAACTGCACAAACCACCTGTAATCAACCTAAATTAACAGAAATCACAGGTGGATTGAATAATACCTTACAACCAATGTCTCAGACTCCTCTATCAATATCTCTGGGTATGCCCTATACCATCAGCAGGACAGATCCACCAAAAACGCAGCACAGTGGAATGCAGTAAGGAGGTAGTGTCCCTGGGAGTCCCCAACATTAACTCTGGGCTCCATGAAGTCTCATGGCATCAGTTGACACAAAGGCAAGAAACCTCCTGCTGATTAGCACCTACTGCCCATTGTCAGCTGACAACTCCATGTTCTTCCATGCTGAATACCTCTTAGAAGAAGTACCTTGAACAGCAAAGGTATAGAATGCACGATGATGGGTACTTCAATGCGTATTACCAAGAGTGGGTCAACAGACTACTACTAATTGAGCTGTCTGAATCCTGGCGGTCATAGCTGCCAGACTGAACCTGGAATACATGGTGAGAAAACCAACAGTAAAGTGCCAAAATCCATGACAGAACCAGTCACTGCACAGTCCTTGTGGAAGCAAGTTGCATCGTTAAATTGAGGATATTCTCCATGCATTGAGCAGCACTACCACATTCTAATGGAACAGATTCAGAACAAATATAGCAGCTCATGGATAGGTTATCTCTGAGGCGCTGTGTGCCATCAGCAGCAGCAAAATTGTATTCAATCATCATCTGTAATCTCACTGCACCATTACCATCAAGTCAAAGGATCAACTCTGGTTCATTGAGGAATGCAGGAAAGCACAGTAGGATCAACACCTAGCACACCTAAACATTTAGGTGCCAACATAGATTCAGGGCTATGGTATGCAGTAAAAATAGCATGTCATAGATAAAACTGAGCAAATCCACAATCAATAGATGATAGCTCTGTGATCCTGCCACAGCCAGTTGTCAATAGTGATGAGCAATTAGAAGAAGGGCTCCACAAACATCCTCATCATTAATTGTGGCAAATGCCAGCACATCAGTGTAAATACAAGGCTGAAAGGTTCACATTAATCTTCAGCCAGAAGAAGTGCTAAGCAGTCGATCCTTCTCGGCCTTTTGTTGAAGTCATACAAACACATGAATTAGAAAGAGTAGGCCTTTCAGCCCTATCCTGCTCCACCATTCGATAAAATTGTGGGTGAACTGGTTGTAATCTCAACACTTTGCTTTTCAGACTACCCCCGATAACTTTTGACTCCCTTGTTAATCAAATATCTGACTCTCCCTTAAAAATATTCAGTGATCCTGCCTGCACTGTTATCTGGGAAGAGAATTCTACAGACCAATAACCCTCCTGACAGAAACAAATTCTCGTCATCTTTGTTTTAAATTGGAGATGCGTTGTTTTGTATTTTGTCCCCTAGTTGTTGTCTCTAGTCTCTACATAAAGAGAACCCACCTGTCAAGTCCCTTTAGAACCTACGTTTCAATTAGATAGCCGCTCACTTTTTCTAAACTCTAAGGGATTCAGGCCCAATCTGTTCAGCCTTCCCTCATTAAACAACCTCTTCATCCCAAGAATCAGTGAAGTGAACCTTCTCAGTAATGCTTCTTA